TCATGTTCTAAACGTAGTCTCTGTTGACCCATGCCATACGGCTACAGCCTCTCGACGTCGGCATCAGCAAGCCCTTCAAAGACAATCTGAGGGCGGGATGGGAGCGATGGATGGCCGATTCAGCACGAGGCACAACAGGCGGCGCCAGGAAAAGGATGACCTGCGGCGAAGTAGCAGCACTAGTCTACGAGAGTTTCAATGCGATTACTGAAGAGACCATTGCGAACAGTTTTACAAGGGCTCTCGATGACGAATCAATGAACAATGCCATGAAAGAGGATTTCGACGCTTTGGTTGTTGCTGATGATAACGCTGATGATGTTCGTTCTTTTGATTTTGATGATGATGAACATGGAATGCTACCTGAATAAAGATCTGTTGCTTCGGTTCATTCTGAGACCAAAAAAGGCAGCGCATGCGCATCCTTCTTGTTTTCATGTGAAAAAAAATAAGGCGGACTTATCCGCGGGACTTGGCGGCGCGCGAGGCGCGCGAGGCTGTCACGAAAGCGGACTTAACTGAGAGCTCTTTTGCGGTCTTATCGGCGAGGCGGTCTTTACTGCGAGGCGATCTTATATGCCGGATTTTAGGGTAAGCATTGAGATTTTTTCTACAAAAAAGGTAGTTTTCCCCGCAAGGAAATATTTTCGCAGTTTTTGTCTCTATATCAACTGGATTAAAGCCTACGTTAACGATACGGAGCATTGCTATGAACGTCACAGTGGTTTCTTGGTGATAACTATGAGCAACTGTTTACAACCAAACTCAAAATTACGAACTTTGAAGCGCTATCTTTGGAAGCTTGTTTCTTTGAAGATAATGAAAAGCTGAACTGGCAGTAACCATCTTGGAGTGCAAAACCCACTTCTTTTTGTACAAACCATAAATTTGCGAGGTTTAATTTTATAATTTATCAAAATTTCTTTGATCTACGCGAGAACTTTTGCGTCGATTCAATTGGTATAGTAGGTTGGATAGAGTATGCAAACAGAATCTATAAAATCTCAGCGGATATTTAGCTCAAGTTCTTTTGTGCAAAAGTAGTACCGAACCTCTCTGAAGGAGAATTTCTTATCATTCATTAACATGGACACCCGAACATAAATTAACACAATTTCAGGAATTTTCAGTGTTAAACATTCAATCAAATTCTATAAATCGTTGAAAATGATGGAAAGTCGTTCTTCGATTGTGACACAAGTCTTGCCTCAACAGGTCAACGCAATAAGTCAAATTTCACATATTCCTCATAAATTCTGTATTTATTTGATAGAGCAATGCAAACTCTGCAAAGTGCTTTGATTTGCATACCTGAACTATGCGAAGTTGTAACCGAAAACGAGAAGAACCTAACTGCCCAAATATCGAAGAAAGTCGAAACTCTGCCAGAAAACGTTTTGGAACACCTGCAACTTGCACAAATACATTCACAATCATATGCAGATATGTAATATGTACACTTGTCTCGGCTGAAAATCGAGAAAACGGAAGTTTCCTTATTTCCGACAAAGCAATGCCCACATTAATGCCTCATGGTCAAAAGATTGCCCAATAATAAATTTCTCTTCCCCATTTGCAAAGGCAACATGTCGCGAGTGGTAGGCTTCATAATCTCTCATCTGTCACTTTCCATCCTTCACTACTCGCCCAAAACACTTGAGTACTATCCTCCAAGCCTGCACAAATCGTAATGGGATCAGCCAGTGGGCGGGACAATGGGCGGAGCCGTCTGAGAAGTGCGAGGGCGCCTTGAAGGTGCTAAATACTCCTGCAAGGAAAGGCGGCGAGGCTTTGGGAACTCCTGGGCCGCCGCCTCTACTATGCATAACTGAGCACAGTACTCGTAATTATCATGTCAAATAACCCACATGGGAAATGTTTTAGCAAATTCTAAGGGTTCCCAATATTGAACCTCCCAAGTGATGGTCATTTTCATACATGATTAACTATGTTTCAGAAATGAATTAGCTAACTCCTTTTGTATTCAATACAAAGCACTACTCCCTGTTTACTTATGCCATAAATCTTGCTTTAAATAACCATCATAACATGGAATTCGAAGCAGGCCAAAATCTCGTTTGTCCCATTTCGCTTTTGATGGCTGCGCTTTCACCAGCTTTTACTTTAAGCGAAGAAGATGAGTCAGGCCCAAATCAGTCCCATGAAAACTACAAGAGTCAGGCTATCAAACTATATATATTTTGGTCGCTAAAATTCTTTTCATAGGTGAGTTAATGCGCTGTGGCACAACCCCTAAAAAGCTGTGGCCGCCACAGCTTTTTAGGGGTTGTGCCACACCCCATTAACTTACCCTCAAAGCTTTGAAATCTCTGTCTTTTTTATATAGTTGCTACTGCTAAACCTTCTTCTCCACATAGCAGTAATTTTATTCAAAATTGTTTCTCCTAAGATATAGTCGTTTTTCCTTAGCTATGCAAATGGAAAACACTGCGAAAATATTGGATTACGGTAATAAGCTAAGTCTGTGCTACTACGTTAATCGCGAGGGAAGGCGGCAAGAACAAGTATATTCGATAAGCTGATCCTCGTAACTTTTCACAAAAGTGACTTGAGCCTGATTGATCTTTTCTAGTCTGAGAAATTGAAGGCGAAGGATGGGAAGGAGATTCTGACTTGCTCTTATTTCCAGAATTTGGAGGTTAGTTGAAGTGGGATTCCTGATGAGCAAAGAAGTAGTACTTCTTTATAATGAGTACAAAAAAACTAGTTTACTCACCTTTGAAACAAACTTAACATGTTTGAAAATGACCACCTCACTTGTGTCCCAATATTCGGAAACCTCAATCGCTGAAACTTGTACCACAGGGGTATTTGACATGTTTACTACGAATGATGCTCTTATATTCATAATTCTTTGATTATGCTTATTGTACGTCTACGACGGTAGGGCAAAACACCAGTGCTAATATGTTGCATCAAAAGCCTATCAGACATTGTTGACTGACATCACGAGAAAGGGGGTCTACCAAGCCTGAAATCTGCTGCGAAAGTGTCCCGATTCTTACGGTAGGCCCGAATGCCGGACACCGGCAATATCGATTGCAAGGCAAGAGTGCGTATAGCGCACACAGTCATGAGCGCAGGGTCCCGCAGCGACTCTGCGCCCCCACCTTGCATCCATTCATCCAGCAAATTTCAGGCACCCCCTTTTTCGCTCCGAACTTCAGTCATCCCTTAGGTAGGGGGTCTACTATTACATTACTACGAGAGCCAGATACCCCCAGTCTGGTTGGATGCCTTTAATTGGTTTTAGCGACTATGACTGACCAATATTAACAGCTTAGAGGCAGTGTCTACGCAAAAGTCGTTCATGAGATTTTGTGCTTACGGGGCCTTTCCGCTATGCTGAATCCGAAAATTCACGCTGGATAGTGCAAAAAAGGGCTCTAACACAGGATGGAAATTAGCAGGGGGCGGGGTCTTCCCGGGTGGATTCACACTCCCAGCTTCCGGAGCGATCTTGCCGATTCCGATTTTGAGAAATGCGTTCGCACTTGGCCGATGGCGATGTCAGGGCGGCTAGCGGAATCGAGATCGTTCCGGTAGCTGGGAACCTGAATTCATAATGGTGAAGAAACCCGTCACTTCTGATTTCCCTCCTGCGTTAGAGCCCTTTTTCGGCATTTTCGCACTTTTCAGTGTTCGTAGTCGAAAATGAGTAGTCGCATAAATCCTGGCTCGGCTGTCTTCTCCATTTGCCGTTCTTCTTTAAATAAACTGTCGACATCTCTCTTGCTGGAAACGTTAGGTAAGGCCCCGGGCAGACTTCACGCGATTTGATCGTCGCGTCTGAGTCGCGAGGAGACAACTGTTACAACATCATTCCATGCCGACCAACTTGCATTTCGGTTGTGATACTTTTCCAGCCCGAAATTTTTGAACGTGAAATGAAAATGAGTGGAAATGTTGGCGATTCAGTCGCGACGATCAAATCGCATGAAGTCTGCCCGGGGCCTAACACTATCAGCCTTCCGCGCTTTCAAAAGGTGCTATCTTCCCTCTGCTTGTCTCTTGCACTTGCCGTCACCTTAGTGCCACAATTTACTATGATATTTATTTCATAAGTATGTATCTCTATGTCAAACACACATAGACATCTTAAAAAGGAATTCAAGTAACACCATCATTTGTATCCGTATCATAAATGGAACTGCAGCCAACTGTATGAATGAATATGATATATTCATAATCGTACATATACTGTAATCAAACACGTCCACTAGATGGTTTGATAAAATCGCAGCCAAAAAATCGCATACACTATAATATGCGAATTTATAGAGGATCATAGAACATAACGCAACGCACGAGATGCAGGCACTATATCTCTAAAAGCCACAAAGCTGCACTCGAACCGAATATATAGATAGAATAAATCACTTTTGTGACAAGGAGCTGTTAGAAGTTTCCGAGGGAAAAAATGCAAGTTATGCTCCTTCAATCGAGAATGTCTTCCTCCAATGCTATACAACAATGTGGTAGTCAAAGCATAACAACCGAGTTGATCAAAGGAATTCCGCAACATCTATTGAACAACTCAACCATAGACTACACACATGACATATAAACTGTAAAAACGAGGAGATTTGTACAGTTAGTGACACTTTGAAAATTTTGGCGCATATGACTACATAAGATTAGCTTACGGTGTTGGAGAAATATCATAAATGTTTGGGAGGTTTTTGGCTGAACGAGAATGCAATGGTGAGTTGAGGTGTTGAATGAGAACGGAAATCGTATAAGAATACAATGAGAATGGATAGCTCTACGCACAAGATGCCGTTTCATAAAGATGATATGGGGTAGGAAGGAAAGTGCAGCCCATCTTATCACATTAATTACTTGAAATTTCTGTTAAGAGAAACAGCACAAATACGGATCAAAACAGCAAGCGCGCACTTTTCGGTACACAACCTCGTGAATACGCAAAAGCTCTACAGAAAACCCCTCACCCCCCCCCCTCTCAACGAAAAAAACGTCATGAAATTCATCTGCTCGTTATCTAACAACAAGATGGGCTCACATGAAACGGCAACAAATGAAGAAAACCAGAAAGTACTACAATTTACATAGTTCGTTCCCATTCTGCGAGGCCGCTTCAGCTGCATCACGATTTCGACTTTATGTTGAGTCTTAAACTTACAGCAGCACTTAACATATATCCAAGAAGAAAACGCATGTGTCCAGCTTCTACTTTTCATAAAAACAATAAAGGTGTTGCTACACGAGAGGCCTGCCAGATGAAAACGACTATATGAGAAGTTCCCAAACGTAATAAGGTAATGTGCACCGGAATCGGCCGTGTGACCTGATTAGAAGAGATAAAGGGAACCTCAGATGCTAAATTCGCAAACTCCTTGCACAAAATCACAGAAGAAAATATCGCCAAAAGCAAAGCAGATTGCGAAATCAACATCTATAGTTTAGAGGATGTAGTTGTTTGATATATCTCTCACGAAAACTCTCCAGACAAGAAGCTGACGAAGTTAGCGGAGAAAGTCACAAGCATGCATTAGTAGTGATCACATATGTCATTCCACTATCTTCGTCATATAATAACAACAAAAAAATTAAAAATGAAATGCAAAGAGATAGAATAACCGGGACTGTGAACCTGAATCTGGGAGTCACGAGAAGGCCCTAACACAATACTCCGTCGCTGTAAAGCCGAACCGTCCAAGATCATTTGTTGTTAACTTTCCGGTGCCGCTTCTCTTTCTTTTCACCATCTTTGCTCGGTATAGATGCTCGCTTCCCAGAATGACCGATTTTACTCAATACTGCATCCAAATTGTGGGATTTCTATAATACACAAACAGATTGAGCCGGTAAATTTCATCAAGATCGTGATGGGACTTAAAAAATCACTCACGATTCGTTTGAGCAAAGCAGCTTCCGAAGCATTCTTATCCATTTTTGCTGATGATTTAGCTGGCGACGAACTAGTTGGATCAACGATGAAAGGCTGGAAAGCGACTATTCATTTCCAGAGAAAGTCTATGAATGCAGTAAAACTCACCGTGAAATCACGCTTGATCGTGATTGGCTCATCAAATTTGCGGAACACATAAGGCTGTGTGTTGATTGGATATCTGTTCTTGCTTGGAATTTTTTCGAAACTGCGTTGGTTGCGATCAATGTGGTACTCGCACAGATATACATCTGCTTCCTGAATGTACCAAAATGGAGAAAAAAAGCAGACACGATACGAACAGAAAAATGCAGGCTAATGCGGCATACAGTATTTTGAAAACCTTGCTATGATGCACTGCAGTGATTTCTGGAGTGAAGGGTAATTAAGAAAGAAACTGATCGAAAAAGCCGGTCAAAAGCAATTAGCATCGAATAAACATTAGAAAGAAGGCTGACTTTGAGAAGAATTACAATCCAATCCAATATCAATTTGTGTCCAACACTTTAAAATATAAGAAAAGGACACTGAAAGCAGAAAGTAAATTCCTACCTTGAACTCCGGCACCGTCGGTCTCCCAATGCACCATACCGATGGATCTAAGACAGCACATCTTCCCACAACCGCGTCTAAGGGCAACGTATCGTACAGCGGAGTGGCAAATACCTAAAGAATAAAACACTTATCTACTCTGACCACAACCGTCAGGCTAGGAAAATTGGAAAAGCACCGAGAAGATGCATTGACTAAAACTTTTCAAAGAATCACCTCATTTCTGTGGAAAATCCTCTGCGAATCGCAGAATGTCTCATGTGGCCGAGCGTAGTAGAAGCCAAATACGAAGCGATGCCCACCAGGTGCTGTAAACAGCCTCTCCACACGAAACACGCGCAAATCCTAAAACGATATCCATAACGCTGAGACTCGTGATACATAAAAGTTTCATTGCACAAGATAACAATATTGACCCCTTGCACAAGATAACAATATTGACCCCTTACCTTTCTGTGGAATGTCTCAGACGGTAATCTAGTATTATTTGCTGGCGGTATGTCCTCAAACCTTTCTTCTTCACCGTTCTTCTTCTTTTTCTCACTAACATCCATTAACTTTTTCAGGATTTTCTTATGCTGTATAAAAAATTTGTTATTCTGCAAAGAATTCAATGAAATGGTGCACATACGTCGTCGCCTGCTGTTCTCTTAACATGGACAGTTTCATTGAGTCGAACTTGGATGGAACGATTGTTGACAAGAGCCTATAAGAAGTAATAAAGATGAGAATATTGTGACTAAAGAGGACAACAAACAAATAATATCAAAGGACTAGCTTCCCCACCTTGTAGTACGTGCACGCATATAGACGAATTTCAGGTTGTTTGGCGAGTACAACATCACTGGAAGGCCGATTTCCAGATATAGTTCCACAGCAGAATTGGCATTTGTACTCCTAAATAAGCTTATCGAGTGCATATTCAAGCCAAGCATTGCTCAAACAACTTACGTCAGCATCTGGATCGACATCTTGCAAGCATTCACTATGTAACCAGAAGTTGCACGTGTCACAGAGTGTCATTTCTCCATCTTCCTCCAACGAACCACAGACACAACGCACCTTTAATATGGGAGGATGAGGTCAGCAAATGAACATGCAAAGTAACGTTTAGATTTGAGACAAAATTCGTTAAGTATAAGGAAAAATATCACTACACAACTCCAAGGAAACTAGTTGAAAACGAAAGGGGACCTAATAACTACTTGTACAAGAAAACAAAAGGAGTTGAGACTTACCGCATCATCTTTCTCATTTGCTTTTCCTTCTGGCCATACAGCATCGGGATCATATCCACCAACCTGTAATGCCAATTTCTAGACAGAAAATGGATAACAAAACTACAATGAGCTTTTAAGGCAAACATATCAACGCGATTTATGCTCACTCAACGAAACATTTGAATATGCACGTTTACCATTGAGAAAAATAACGAAAAAGAGGAGAATAGTATCGAACTGAAGCATACACTAACCTTGAACGCCGAATCAATGTACTCAAGATTCATCTCTCGGCTCATAATTCGTCCATCTCTTCGCCTGTCTTTCTTCTGCTTTTCTTCTTTGTCAGATTTACCACCATCGAAGAGGTAACGACCACGAAGAGCACTAGAACGAAATTTGTAACTCCGCAAAAACTCCATAGACCAAAACTACATACGTGTAAGCTCTGTCAAGGTCGTCATCCGCAATCTCGTCAAGCCATTTGGTCATTTCAGCATCGAATGCCGTAGCTATTTCCGCTTTACTCAGCTGCGGTCGCCGTCTCTCAACACTTTGCAATATTCGGCACAAACGGTGGTAACCCGCTAACGACTTCATTGGTAAACGACCGTCAATGCGACGGACCCTAAAACCAACTTCCTTTTCTATGGCACTCAAAAAAGAGAAGCTGAGCAAGATTAAAATCTGAAATTGCAAACAAGGAAGACGATTTTACCGAAGGTTGTATCTGAAGCTAAAACCTTGTCAAAGAAGAAGAGATAACATCAACTACCAGGACTGCGGGAAAAAAGTACATTTCTACATCTAAACACAAGTTATCAGCTTTTTAGGTTTTTTAAAGCAATTTTTGAAAATGGCAGAGCAAGTTTGGAATAGAACGCATACGATCATAGAATTGGCACAAGTGAACATCGCACGAATAAGTAAAACTCAAAACAGAAAGTTAATGTTATGAAAATGAAAAGAAGAAAAATGCTTACCGATAGCCTATTCCGTTGAGTATTTTCCGCAAGCCATCTATCTGAGATGTAGGTGCTTCAAATGAACCGTGGATACCTGAACAACTGTTCTATCGGGCAGTAGATACATTATTCACGATAAGGATTTTCCTGCTTGACTATATGGCCAATTTTCGGAAATCGAAAAAAGGGCAGCAAACGCAACATCTAACTTTTTTAAAGATTTGAAAAGGCATAAAAATGAACTGAAACAAATAAACTCAAACAAACATGAAAAACAAAAGAAAAAGCCATGACGAGCGACGAGCTTACCTGAAGATATGGCTTGAGCTATACAGTGCTGCCGATTTCGGATCAAGAACAAATGCTCTTTGCGTACTATTCGTTCCTCGTTGATGGACAGATCAGTGGCAGATGCGATAGGCTGTAAAAAGGATATTACCCCAGGACGGCGAAAACTTTCTTGATAATTGAATCCAAAAAGTAAAAACTCACAGCATTCCGCGACATAACAATCTTTTTGCGACAATCATGTGCACCGCAATGGCATTTTCGAGTTGCTGGTAAGAGGCCATTCATATCAATAGTGATCTCACTCCCAGATGCAATGTCGCCCAACGCAAATAGACCACTGCGGTAGTTGCCATTGACAGACCTAAATTGAGATTTTACTTGACTAGTAAAAGTCCGCTTTTATTCTTCGTGCAACTGCTTTCAGCAAACAAGCCTGTCTTTCCCTAACGATAAAAATGCAAACAGAATCACTTAAATTAACCCATAACTTACCAGACTTCGAGCCTTGCATTGGGTTTACACGAATGACGCACATAACGTGTGACGTTACCACGGACAGTGGCGTCAACAAACAATCGTGACGTCAAACAGAGTATTATGGGCGACGTATCCGTTTTGGAATACGTTTCCCAACGTTTCCTGGCATCTTCGAAACGAACTACTTCACCAGCAAACTCACCCTGGAATATGATGGAAATTAATCATCGAAAGGCAAGAAACAAAACAGTTCGCAGTGATAGGACGCACCAGGAAATCTCCAGCCCTCCTTGCGTGTTTTGTTCTCAAGATTTTTCTGGTTTTCGCTCCTCCCACGACCAAAGATTTTAAAGCGTCATCTTTCCAGAATTTCTAAAACTCACGTTAAAAGTTAGAAAACGAGAAGAAAAAGGAAGGCTGTGACGACAGAAGTAAATCTCACCTTGTTTGCACACAATGGAGCCGCACAGCCTGGTGGACACTGAACACAAAGGGCACGATTCACACATTCTGAATCGGATGTACATGCTCCTCGCGTGCAACCACAAGAGAGCACAGGTGACTCCCATTCTGGCAAAGTTCCAACAGCAACGCCTGCAAAATGATATTCATGACTTTGTGTATGCAATGTGGTGACGAAAAAACTGAATATTTATCGGTTGCGAAAAGTTCAAAAATCTCAATAAAATTATTCAAAAGCATTCTAGTAGTACCTAAAAAAAATAGCGATCATTCGTTCTGGTAAAGATGAACCTACTTCGAACAATCTCTTCATACTCTTTCTCCCTTTTCAAAGTGGTATTATCGCAACAAGTCATTTTCTTCGTAGGTGTCGTTGTTTCGCAGCATGATGTCCTTCTGGCAGGAGTGGAATGAGAAGATCTCCTAAACAAGAAACACTTCTACAGAGCAAAAAAAGCGTGAATTTGAGAAAAAAGATAAATTGAGTAAAAAACCTAGTAACAACTCAATCGAATAACTCACGTTCTGTGCTCATCCTTGCTCTTCTCCTTTTCTTTTTCCTTTTCCTTCTCCATGCTGTCATTCCTCCTCTTTCGTGTGCGTTTCTCATTGTTCTTTTCGGGATGTGGGTGATCTTCAGCATCTTCGTGTTTCTCCTCCACATGTTCATGCTTATTCTGTTGTTTCTCCTGTCTCTTCGAAAAAACCTCCTTCTTTCTAGTTCGTTCACTGCTCTTCTTCTTATCCTCCTCTTTCTCTTTCTTCCTCCTTTTCTTTACATGCTCCCAATTGACAGCCCACAGATTCTTCCGTTCCTTGCTATTCCGACGATCATGCCGTTCTCGCGGTCCGATACGTAGGCCTTGTAGATCAGAAATGGTCGCCTCCAGCAGGGTCGTCACTTTCTCACGCAACATTCGTTTCACAGCTTCTCTGTACAGTTTCCTTATTTCCAATTCATCTGTGGACGAGTTGGCATCGCTTTTTCGTTCTTCAGATGACGGAGATTCAGAAGGGTTCTGTACACGAGGAAGAGGAGAGATCTCTTGTGATACGATACCGCTGGTACCATCTATGCAGACGGGTGAAACCTCAAGTTTCATGTTTGCACAGCTGGAAGTACGGCCATCTTTGAGTGAGGAGGCTCGTGAGGTGCTTCGAGTGCTGACTCGGACAGGTGTCGGTTCTTCTTCGCTCTTCTTGGCATCTTCGCTTGCGGCACTGGCAGGACGAGCTCGTTTGGGAGCGTGTTCCTAGAAAATCAGATTAGAGCACTACTTGTGCGAAGTATAAGTTTCCGTCAATCAAAGAAATTTGGTCTTTTTACGCATGGACTACATCATGCTGGCTCAAATTCACTTGTGTTTCTCCAAAACTTCAAACTTTCCGTGACTAGGCAAAAATAATTGAACTGAACCAAAAAATCGAGTTCAAATCAAGATTATATGCACTAGTACCCCAAAAGTAGGGCGGGTATATTCTCAATCAATGAATCTTGACTGAATGGACGCAACGCACCTGTTTGCTGCCACTTCTTCGCTTATTACTGGATTGACGTCGCTTTATGAGATTTGCGATGACATTTGCTTTTTGTGGATCCAGCATAATCAGCTGTTCCACAATTTCTTTGGTGTCCATGGTCGTAGTGATCGAGATCGATGGAGTGGGTGCAGTTTCACATTCGGATCCATGAGCAGATGTGACATCTTCACGTATCGATGTGCAACTAGAACTAATGAATTTGACAAAGGCACTGACTGAAGATCTAAAAATCATAAAAATCATTTGTATACAGAGTGGTAAGGAAGACAAGGAAATAGCACTATGAAAAATAATGCTTTACAGAATGATAACGCAAACATTCAAGAAAACCTTTGATGCTCGAGACCCGATAAGCATTTGCATTATTCACCTGTTACTACACTGGGGCTCTTCCTCTTGATCAGCAGGAAGAAGTCGTGGCATATCCGCAAAATCTTCATCATTCTCATAACGTTCTTCACAAACTGAGTCACAGCCTTCCAACTGCATCTGAAAATAACAAGTTGAGTGAATTACAAATATGAACAGCAGAGAATGACCATGATGTAAAAGAGCTTGAACTATGAGAGGTCTAGAAATGTAAAGTGATTCATGATAGCCGGAACAGGAAGATCTTATTTCGAACAACCTACAAACTGGAGAAACAATTGCTTGCGGAGTTTTTCCTTCTGCTGATCGAGAAGTAAGGGAATAAAACTGTCAACGAATAACGACCACGCGTTAGTTTCCAGCAAGCTCGTGATCAGCTTACATGTGACAAATCGAAAAAGGATGGCGTCAGAGCTTTGCACTGTACTCCTGCACTGCATTCGTCCACGACTTTTAGATTGGAATTGGTTGATATCAAAATTGATGAAAATGCTAACATCAGCTACCAACAATAAAAAATGAGAAGTTTCATTGCAAAGAAATAATATAGAGTAATTAAGATTGATTACTGCCTTGCTTGCACAAGTTTTTCGGTCACGGGAATCAAGTTCAACGCGACAAAATCAGGGAAGCATGACAGATCCAATAAGAAGCTTCTCTGATGAGCAGAGAAAAAGTCGCAACAAAGAAAACATGACACCGCTCAGAACTAACCGTAGGTGGAGTTAGTGGATGGTTGCTAGGAGGTGATCCAGGGACAGACTGAATTCCGGAATCCGGTGTTGTGGACGAGTCACTGACCGGAGCTGTCCATGGTCCTGCATTCGAGACTCGCACAGATCGAGGATCAGCCTATATGAAGCAGAAATCAGTATTATCATAACGAAAAGCTCGTTGTCAGTACCACTGAGCTCTTAAATTTCTTACAAAAATCAGAGATTTCTTTTGGAAAACTCAATCGAAAACTAAGATGGGAAAAATTTTAGAGAAAACATAATCAAAAAACAATTTCAAATTTCTACCTGCAATCCTGGTCGAACCACAGATGGGGCCGGATGGTTATGATATTGGATTATGTTAGGCAACGGTGACATTGGTGATGAGTCGAGTTGCGGTGAAGCTGAGCACACGGACAGACTTCGTGGCTGAAAGAGAAGTAAATGTAAGAAACTTGCCGTCGCGAGAATTATAGCAGTTTCTATGGATAAATGGAATGAGAAAAAATGGTTTGACGTAATCTGGCTGAACCTGACATAGCAAAAAGTAATGGGTAATGGCAATCTATTCAGAACAATTTCTTGCCCTGCTATGATAATAAAAGAGCTTCAGACATATGGATTAGCTTCTTTCGTCATTCGAGATCACAACAAAAGGAAGTGAATAGCTATATCCAGAATCCGAGATCAGAAACTCACAGGCCATCATCTTTAGAAAATTTAGGTCAACAAAGGCTTTCAAAAAAGACGCGAACAACAAGAAAAAAGGAGATCAATGACTATTTCAAATATAGAATAATTGCCCGGCGATTATGAAAACACCGCATAAAAAAGAAGGATTTCCTCATGGCATGAATAGAAACTGAGAGGCGACATCTTAGCAAGATTGTAAAATATAAAATACTAAAGACATGCACGTTCTCAGCACATATCTTTTGAACAAATCAAGCAATGATGGTTTTGTGACCACACCCAAACAAAATTTAAAAATAAAAAAATCACCCTTGCAAACTGAAGAAAGTTCAGAACAAATGTTCTCACCTGCGAATTACAAGGACTAGCCAAATTGTGTACAGGAGGAGCAAATGCAGCTTTCACAGGACCAGCCTGAGGCCATGCCATCGTGGATGTGGCTGCCATCGGCAGCGTTGTCGATGGCAAAGCTGTCGGTGAGATCGCTACCGAAGCATCACCGCCTTGCTGCAGTCGAACTTGGACTTTGGCAGGAACGAGGACCTGAAAGGGATCCCCATGAAAGCGAAAAAACAAGCTCGAAGGTTCCATGAGGTCGTCGGGGCTCACAGAGCGATTGCGGCATTAACACAATCCCAAGACATACAGCCCTGACGACCCAACTATGGCAAAACAGAGAAGAAATTTTATATTTAGATACATGTAGCAATCAAATTAAAAACAACATCTACTGTCAAAAAATAAGCCTGACTTGAGCCCTCTATGTCCATGATCTACTGAATGTCGAAAGAGGATAATGAAAGACGAAACAGACCTTCGGTGTTTCTCCCTGTACAACGATTGGAGCGCCTTGAGGATAAACTCCTTGGACGAGAAGCGGTTGAGGAGGTGCTTTAGCAGGTGTGCCTCCTGATGCTAATGCTGTTACTGGTTGACCGGTATTTGGCCTACCGACAACTGTGCCAGCAGGAGCTCCCTAAGAAAGGAAAAGTTTGAAAATTTAAGAAAAAAGTACAATGGGCTTTGACTTACCGGAGGATTTTGTTGATTAGCAGATGGACGTATAAGCAAACCGAGGTATTGTGTTTCACCGTTACCATTTTGAGCAGAGCTTCGAAACATACATGGTACCGCTTCGTAACTCATTTGTAGTGTAAATTCATGTCGAGTGTGTGTTAGTTCTGTAAGAAAGCGAGATAATTTCACGAAAATATTCGATCAATACAGATATATGACGAAGTATGCCGATAAAAAATTGAATGAGACAACAATGGAAATCATATTAACTATGGGGAGGTGTAGAGTTGGAAGTGAACACCATAGGCGTGCACATACCGTAATTTTACAGTGAACCTACAGTACACTTGCAGCAGCATTGCTATTTTTAGCCTTTAGGTGAGCCAAAGACACCTACCTAAAGGCGCGAAAAGCAATGCTACCACGAATGTACAGTAGGTTTACTGTAACGATACGATACAAACCTATATGGCGTGTTCTGACTTGCAGCGATGCACAAATCATTAGCATTTACAGCCTGTCAAAATGATGCAAGTATGGACATAGACCGGCGTACATAAGTTCATTCATCATGGGGCATGCAAATGGAAAAAACAATAATAAATTGATACTAGCAACTGTACAATGTTAGTGCATTGAGCTAAATTGCCCTATACAAAGCTTTGTTTGATCAATAAGCCAAATTCAATAAATGCTGTGAGCTTCGAATAAAAAAGAAATTAGTAAAGCAGGTTGGAAGTTTAGAAGCTTAATAACGAGTAATGCTCTAATATCGTGATTTTAACACAAGACAAAAACTTTAAACAAACACTAGCAGCTTTGATTGAGCTAGATGAGATTCTAATTGCAATACACCTATATCCATTATTTACTGCAATTTCTTACAAAAACAATTCATTTCAAACTGAACAGTTCATATCAAATTTGCAGTGTGCTAAAAATAGCAATGAAAAGGGAAAGTTTGCAAGCTACGTTGATTTCAGATGCGCTTCAAAGCATTGTTGTGCCTTACAAAGTGTTTATGGAGAATAAAAAAAAAGCCATGCGCGCGTACGTTTAACAAGCTTGAACTTGTTTGTTTCCACGTAAAATAAAACTTCAAATGGGAAGACAACACAAGTCAAATCTTGTCAAGTATGTGCGCGAAACGTGTGCTCAGGTCTCTTAGTCAGTAAATGCACTATAAACATTTGTTATTGTTACTATTGTTAGGCAAAAGATCGCATTCAACAAATATTGTTCAAGGAAAGATCCGAAAGTGCATGGACGATTGCAGAACAATGAAGCTATTAGGTTGGCACGAAAGTTCTTGCGTAATTCAAACAAAATTCAATAACTTTTCAACGCCTAAACCTAAATTCACAATCTTGTTCTCTAAAAATATTACAGGGCCTGCGCTCCATGATGGAAGTTTAAGCGCAACATTTCATGAGTTAGCCCTCAAGGACGAAGCTCTCTAAGATGAGGCTTCAAATTTTGCGATTTTGAGTTTGGTGCCAGAAAATCGCAGAGGGTCGCTAGCTCGCCGAAAAAAAATCTGTAAAAATTAATTACACGGTAGAAGTCCATATGTTGCTTTGGAAGGTTTTGATCTTGTACGGTGAAGCAAAAACAAAAAAATCCTGAAATATGTCATTTTGCGGAAAAAACCCCCTCATTACTGCAGTTTTTCTGCGAAAACATTTTTTTACATACCAGAAAACGTCGTAAGGTTATAAATAGGCACTGTGTCTTATTTCTGGTTGCAAACTGTGTTTTTGTGGAAAAATTACCTCGATAAGGGGATTTATCCTGTAAAATGACAAATTCCACCAATTTTTTGTTTTCGCATTTCCAATCGAGATCAGAGCCTGCTAAAATAAGGTATGGACTTCTACTGTGTGATTAATTTCTACAGATTTTTTTTTTCGGCTAGCTAGCGGCCCTCTGCGATTTTCTGGCACCAAACTCAAAATCGCAAAATTTGATGCCCCATATTTGAGAGCTTCGTCCTTGGGGCTAACTCATGGAATCTTGCGCTTAAACTTCCATAATGGAGCGCAGGCCTTATAATATTTTAGAGAACAAGATTGTGAATTTAGGTTTAGGCGTTGAAAAGTTATTGAATTTTGTTTAAATTACGCAAGAACTTTCGTGCCAACCTAATATATTTAGACCTTTTTACTTCGCAAATATAATAAGCAAGCAGAGCATAGAGAAGCTATTTTGAGTAAAGCAAGGTACAGCCTATAACGTCAAAATGGGAAGTTTATAAATCAAATCTCGGATAAGCACGCTTGGCTATGACGTAAAGCACAACTAACACTATATCAAGCAAACTAACGTCAACGCCTTGTGAAGATTGGCCGGAAGTTACTGCCAGAAGGATCATAGCTACAGCTGCTACAGTAAACCCACCGTAATCTTACAGTAACACAACTAGCTCCGATGGCTAAAAAACCAGCACAGATAAAGTTCCCGTAGTTCGAAAACTATAAATTTCTTAGCTTGTTGTATGTGTTTTTTGTTTAGCAACAACTAAATGCAAGAAAACTTCTACAATATCAAAGACTCAGTGTGTTATTTATTTTTGCTTCCAATTTATTTATTTACCAAATTCGACCCACAAAAATCTATTATATAAAGAATCGTTAACTCAGTTCAAAAAACTGCAAATAGCGGGAAACCACGTGGCGGTCCTGAAGTGAACGCTTCTCCAAATAGCACATTTAGAATACTGGTTCACTAGTAGTTAATAAACACATTAAGGCACTGACTAATCATTAAAATGATGAGCTGATTTTATGTATAAAAAGTTGAAAATTGGAATTTACTCCCTCTGCAATAATCTTACTACATAAAAGGGAAAAGCTTCACTTGTAAAACAACCGCACACATGGCTTTCTTGGAACACAATTTTCTTAAAGTTCTATGGACGCCCGAATATCAAACTTCTCGCTCAAACGGTTTTTGTCTCGGCCTAGCCACCTGCAGATAATTTTCTACCAAGTAAGCTTGACTATTTTTAACTCATCTAAAGAAAAGAATTAGCAAGAAATGGCAGCTGTTAAATCAATTCATATCTCCAAAAAATATGAATTAATAATTGATAATTAAACTAGGTGAAGAAGCTATGCAAAAGGGAATCATCCATGGGTGAAGAAGCTATGCAAAAGGGAATCATCCATGTGAATCAAAATATACAACACATAATGCAACCAGTAAGATAGAGAAAAACTCGAATAATTTTTAGAAAATCCCAAAAAAAAAGCCGCTAACTTTAGGAACGCTGCAGAGAATCTATTTGTATCATATATTGAAAGCCACTTCGGCAGTTCGTCATGAAAGCATAAAGAAGGGCAAGTTGAGGAGTTCAAAATTCCAGTTAAAAATAGCCGCATCATGTGTCAGCAAACAAAACATGAACGCACACACACACCACACACACAAAACACGACGAAATTGACGCGCTGCAAGTTTTATCAAGTGTGAGAACAGGTACCAATGTTTTTCGATCATTGTTCTCTTCTCTTTGTGATTATCAATACAACTAAAAACGATATTCATGGGAAGGTTCCAGGCTTAATTTGGAAACATGTCAACAGTGCATGCGAAAAATGTGTCAGGATGTAATGCATGCAAATTTGCGTGATATTGCATGCATAGAAACAAAAATCATATTTGCAAAAAAACCTTTCGGGAATAAAACTGATGTAAAATAAAAAGATACGATTATAGAAGTTCCTTTGCCCATTAAATGTGTGCCAATCAACGTGCAAAACAATGCAGAAGTGCAGTCCGTAAACACAGAAAGGTACAAAATCTTTTTGAAAGCAAGCAAAACGATGTATTCATAAGGTGTTCGCGGCGAAACGTCGAATTGTCTCATCAAAACCGGCCGCTACGAAGGAGGGATCTCTTACGCCTTGCATAACAGTCACGACGCTATCGATCGATATATTGATTGAAGAACGTTCGAGGACGGTTCAGTTACCAATGATTAGCAAATCAATAACATGTTGACAGTGACGTCAGAATCGAAGTAATTTCGTCAAAAAGGCAAGGTGAGTGGGGGAAGATGGGGGGAGGCGCGCGGCGCGGCGAGATAGTGTTGACGATCGAACATATGTCGCACGATGGATGACGTGCCGTGCGCTTCGCGGAGAGCACGTGAAGCGCGGAGTGTGCAGGACACACATAGCGCGCAGAGATGGGTATATAATAACGATTAGCGCTCACGCCGTCGCCGTCGTCGCAGCGCGACTGCCGCCAGCATCGCTGCGGCGGTATCGCGGCGCGTGGCGGCTGCGTCACGGTTGTGCGCGTATCAAAACAGGTTGCCGCCAGTCGAATTCATTCGTCGTCGTCGTTCGTCGGTTCGTCGCCGCCAAGCCAGCAGCCGGCAGTAGCAGCCGATCCGGCGCGCGACGAAACGATGTCCTTAGGTCGCCGATACACCACACACCACACCACACGCACATATTCGACTCGCGCACATAACAAAGGGCAATAGGTGAGAGATGAGTGCAAAACGATGCGTGATTATGAGGGTAAAGAGAGGCCGGAGCGAAGGAGGGGGGGGGGGGGGAGTAATAATCATCATCATGTTAAGTCAAGTCAATGCAGTTGTGCGCAGTAGTTATTCTGGGTTCCGGCCCTAATCCCTGACCTCAACCTCAAACTTTGGGCCCATATTACCACATAGTTCCCCTTTTTTGGAATTGACATGTAGATTCTGCAGACAAAGCCGGGTTTCATGGTTTACACTTCTGAACCAGATATTAGAATACAACAAGATGCCAAGCGACTGGTACAAAAGCACGACACTACCGATGTGGAAGCATAAAAGCGACATAGCTGATTGTACTATGTACCGTCCTATTCGATTTATGAGCCACATACTGAAAATCTCCAAAAAAATTAGATACATATCTTCGAAGAAGCGCGGATTTGATACGCAATCAGGCGGGTTCATCAAAGGAGACTGCAATTAACGCCATCCATATTTACCCTTAGAATAATGATGGAACGAAGGAGAGTGAGGCAATGTAAGCTACACGCAGCAATTCTCGATCTGGAGAAAGCGTTTGACAAGGGCATAATAGCATATGGTGGGTTCTGCGAAAGCACATAGGGCCGGAAGAAAACTTGAAGTGGATAAAGATGGTGTATGGAGGATGCAACTAGTACGTACAACTAGTTAGGAGATTCAG